ATTGTCTTCCTTAGTAATGATGGGGGAAAAAGATCATTGATAAAGGATAAGTCAGAGGGAGTTTGATGGGAGAAGAGATATGAAAAGTAGGAGATAAAAATATCTACAATATCCTTGTGATCAGTAATCCAAGATCCTTGACTATTCTTAACTCCTTGAATGTCAATTCTTCTCTGATGGCACATGGTGCTTTTATGAAAATAATTGGTATTTCTATCTCCCAAGTTTAGCCAGAGTTGTCTAGATCTTTGTCTCCAGAAACTTTCAATTTGAGATTAGGGGTCGTCATGTTGTTTGTAAAGAGAGGCTAGTTTATTCTGATCCCATGGTGTTGATTGTTCCACCGGGATTATTTGAGATTTTAATTCATTTAATTTAATCCGGGGATCAGTAAACTTAGTTTTACTCCAAGTAATTAAATTTTGTTTAATATTATCCATTTAGGAGGAAAGTCGGTAGGCAGCATATCCATTTATATTAGAGTCCCACCCATGTACTATTTCAAATCTGCAAGATTCCTTTACCAGCCACATTTCATAGAATCTGAAAGATTTGGGATATTGAATTTTCCTAGGTGATATGTTCAGGATTAAAGGGTGGTGGTCAGAACCCCATCTAGCCGCTAAAGATAAGGAAGCATGAGGAAAAGCTGAGATCCAGTCAGGGGTGGCTAAGGCTCTACCTAAAGTACGGTTAATTAGGCCTAAAGATCTTTTGTTTGACCAGCTGAGTCGGCCTCCTTGAATGTGAAGTTCCGTAAGATCTTGATCTAGAATTAAATGACGATATTGGGTAGAGGTAAATTTAGAGGGTCTGTCAGAAGACGAAGGATTCTAAATTGTAACATGGTCCACTTCATTAAAATCACCAATTAAAAGGAACTGTAAATTGAAGGATTGTAAATCCTTGATTGAGACAAAAAGAAAGAGACACTAGGATTATGTTTCCAAAAAACCGCTAGTCCTCCTGCTTGTCCTTTGGGAGGAATGAAATAAGAGTTAGAATAATTAAATCGGTTAGCCAACAATTGCATTTTTTTTTATAGGAATTTTGGTTTTACAGAGAAAAAGAAAATCAGGATTATACTTTTTGACCAAAATTCCTAATCCTTGAACTGCTTTGGGATGTTCAGCCCCACGGCAGTTCCAACTAATAATTAACATTGGCAGTCTTGTGGCTGTTGCAGGCCAGCCACCACCACCTTTGTCAGAAGGAAAGAAAAAGAACATAAAAAGAAACAAACCTGATCTGTCATATCGGCCTGGTTAGCATTTACAGTTAGCACCTCGTGGTTCAGAACATGCAAAGTAATATCGTTGTTTTGATTTGAATTAACAACATAAAGGATTCATTCAATTTGATTACTTTGAGTGGAAGATTCAAGTCTATCATAGATGGGAAGGTCAACTGACTCTTCAATCTCTAAGTGTTGTAGGAGATCTAACCTAGGGCGTTTTCACGTACCCATTGGATTTGATGAGAAAGCATTTGTTAGGGTGGTTTGAGTGTGGAGAGATAGTTGAAAGGTTTTTGAGGAAATTCTTAGAGATGGAGAAGTATGTTCAGAGGGATTGGTAGTAGATGAAGAAGAAGCGACCCTTGCTAAAGTGGAATCGATGGGAGTAGAAAGAGGATGAATATGGGTAGAAAGTGGTTCGGTGGCGGGGGTCTAATAGTAGTGGATGGAGTTGGAAGAGTGACAAAATCATGAAGAGAAGGGCGGTGCCAATTTTGCCGAATGGAAATTTCTGCCCTCAACCAAGGACCAAGGTGGTGCATGGAACGAGTATAAAAAATGATCTTATCTTAAGGGGTTGATCAATTGTAACAAAGACTTTAGCACGAGTATAATTTTGAATAACCATGTTGTGTTGGGTGGGACCTATATGCTCGAAGATTGGATGACCTACGTCGACAGAAAGGATCTCATAAGAAAGGTCATGGAATTGAACCGAAAGTTCTATTTGATTCAATTGCCATTCATATTGACATGTACCAGAAACCCAAGGTTTCAAGATTATCCACTACCAGCCTAGTTCTAAGCCCACGGCCCCCTAATCTTAGGTTTGCTGATACTGTATAAAGCAAAAAAGAAAAAATTGCCTTCCAAATTGGTGCCTTCAGAACTCCAACGCCACGTGGATAATTGATAAGATACTGTCTGCTGAAATGGCAACTTTCGTTAGCTTTTGTTTTAAGCGTAGACATAGACAGACATGTAGAAAGATTGAAAACAGTGTTGGGACCTATATACAATAGGAATCGATTCATTGTGAAATGTGAACAATTCATTATCACGAGGTCATCCCCCCGAAGAATGAACGAGTAATTTGTGCTTGTAATATCATACACTTAATCATCTTCTCTTGACGGGAGAACAGAAAGCCAAGTACGTGTCAGCTGTAAACGACAAAAAAGAGAAGGATGCCATCGCCACGTTATTGGTGAGTCCTCCTGCCTCCCTTTTTTGTCAGAACTCAGGTGATGTCCCAAGCTGATGACTCAGATGTTTGGTAAAATAAGGTCCCACGCCATGTGAAACCCACTTCTCGTCCCTCAATTTTGTTCTTTCTTAGCTATCAGTTTCAGGGAATCCACCGCCACGCCTTTTTGTTTGGGCTCTAAGTCWCTAATACTTTGCCAATCCAGGCCCAGGTCCACATAACCGCCCCAATCGCCCCCACAATCTATGTACACGTAAAGAATTAAAAGTTTCTCGAAAAGGGTGATGGACCACTCGAGGCGCCGCTGGTCTTCCATTAACAACACTTGTCAACATTCTTTTTCTCGCTAAAGGCTAAAGACATCCGTCACAGATCCTAGAAATTTTTGCTCAAAATCCCCTGTTTCCCAATGGGTTGTAAATTAATTGTAATCGCGTCCTCAATTTAATTTCCACCTGAGAGATGATTCCACTGCCACGACGACCCTTGGCCTTTTTCAAATTCCATTAAGAAGATGAGTTCCAACAATTAAAGCGATTGTAGATGTTTTGGATTAGTGGTTTCGCTTTCGAGTAACTTATAAATTAATAATCATTTTAGTCATAAAAAATTAATATTAAATAGGTATTTTTGTCTCATTCAAGTATTTATAATTTTTTTTCAAATGGGAAAATTATTTATCCATTTAGGAAGTAGGTATCACTTATTTAGATAAATGATATACATTTTTTTCGATCTCTATATAAATCTGAAAAATAAACAACATATATTTTTTTGTCAATGGGATTGATCAACTTTTTCCTCTCAAAATTCAAAAAAAAAAAAAAAAATGAACGCCCCCTTAATATACATTTAATGATATATGATCACAAATTAATCATTCTCTATAGCTAGCTAGCCTTGATGGTTCTGTTTTTATATTAGCTACATATCTTTTCCAAATTAAGTTGTTTTGAATTTGCTTTGGCGAATGGATGTAAATGCCTGTGCTGCTCTCTGGATTGTGAATTGTCATTGTAATTTAATTTTCTTGCTAGATTTTATGTTGTGTGTCTCTCTATGCTTAGAAAAGGGAGGAAAGATGATGCCCAGGTGGATACCCTTTTAATTTATACCATTGCCATTTTTTGGCATTTAGCTTTAATTTCATATTTACGGTTTCTCACTCAAAATCGTTTAAACTTATAAGATTCTCTAATCAGTTCAACTAGGGAGTTTTCCTACACCAAGAATCCTATATTTCTTGGCCAAATAAGAACTCAATAGCAAACCAATTCCTTAATGATAATTACGTTACATGCAGATCCCGATTCGATCGTTTATCCTAACCATTGCTTCAATTATTTGCCTCGGACTAAATCCTGCCAAAATATCGAATTTACTGCTGTGTTGAAATGAAAAGAGAAAAAAAAGTTACCATATGAATATAAAAAGCGCATGCACATGTATCTACTCTTATAATTGTACTATTTTGTTTCACTTTAGTTATATTTAAATTAATGAAAATTACTTAAATCTTCCTTATATTTTTTTGGACAAACATTACAACTGCACCACTTCTATATATATTTTGGTCTCTGCAAAAACCTCTATTCATGTTTCAATGTTTCAAATAGATATGCAAGCATCCCGCTCTTTTAATTGTCCTGATAGAAAATGGTAATGTAATGTATTAAAGTTTTTTCTTATGAGAAATTTTATTGAAATAAAGATTTATCCAACCAATTACTCCCATAAAAGATTATTCAGTACTTTATTTAAATTATTCACTTCATCAAGTGGACAGTAAAGGGCCGAGTTTAATTTAATTCACTCTTACTTGCAAAAAAAAATCACGTTCAGTCAATAGTTGTAATTTCAAGATAGTTAATGGAAAGGGGGTGTGTATATAAATATTCTAAATGTGAAAGGGAAATTTTTGTAGAGGTCATATTTATTTATAACCAGCCAAAATTTCATATGTTTTTCAAAATTAAGCTTAAGCTTAATTAAACATCATGTCCAGATTTCCTGCGCACAATTATCTACCCACACTCCATTCACCTTGAATTGCAGCCACAAGTCGCGCCATCTTGTATTCTAAGATGTGTGGTTGCAGTGCAGTGTGTGTAGAGAAAATGAACAGAAAATCTGGATACTTAAACATTCTCTTTTTTCAAAAAAGAAAAAAAAATTGCATTAAAATATGAACAAAAATGTCTATTGACAAGTGACAACAATTCCTTTTTCATTAAATAACAAAACATAAATGAAGTTTTGAAAATACCATTATAAGATATATCAACAAAACAGACTCTTTTTGTAATAATAGAAAACAGACTTGGCTAACATGATAATATAATCATTGTAACCTTCACGTATTATGACCCAATAGTATTCTCAGTCTTAACATATAGAATAGAGAGGCTATAAAATAAATAATAACTATTTCAAACAATCTACTCCGTACATATTTCAGTATTTCTATTGGGAATACGCTCGAATCCCCAGAAGGGACATTTGAATATCTGCACATCTAAAACACGATTGCCGCCAGATGCACGGCTATAGATCATACTGGTTCCACCGGATGCATTATTATTTTATTTGTAGCAGTAGATATTAAAAGATCACATGATAATATCATTTATTAACCTCGACTTAATTAATTAAACTTGATTATACATTAACCCTTCCATATCATATTTATTATACTATAATCCTTTGAAAACGGATTCTGATCATGTGATGCAACATGCGTTTGGATTCTCATCACTGAAAAGTTGGGGAGGTGGGACCCGTTCGATGACGTAAAGTGGGGGATAGTAATACATCATTCGCTTCATTATTTCCTCCTCGTTGTTGTTGCTGCCGTTGTTCTTCTCTTCCTTGTTTTCATCACCCTCCTTGGCTTCTTTGGCACTATTCTCGTTGTTGTCACCGCTATTATTTTCGCCCTTGTTTTCTTGTTCCGCCGGTGCTTTATCTTCTTCCTTTTTCTCTGCATTATCGTCCTTCTTCTCAGCATTTTCTTCCTTCTTCTCTTCGGGTTTTGCTGCTTCTTCTGCTGGTTTTTCTCCTTCCTCATTCTTCTCGGCAACAGGTTCGGGCTGCGGGACGACACGTGCTTGCTTTCTAGTTCTCCTGTATACATAATCGACGAGCCGTCCAGCGTCCATGGTACCGGTCACCATCACCTTTCCTGTACTCATCTCTGTCTCAGCTGTTTGCACCCCTGCGCGATGTAGTCATCGATTGAAGCTTCAACTTCAATTCCGATAATTCTTTCAAGTAATGACTAGATTTAATTATTTTTACAATTACAACTAAATTGGACATTGTAATTAAAATATATATTGGACTTGGACTATTAAGCAACAGAGAGCATCACTTGTTTATAACTTCTTCTTTTCTCTTCTTCGAAGGGTGCTGATGTGATTATGGGACCAAATAATAAGAGTTCGACCAGTAAAGAGTACAGTTGGTCAGAATGAGGCGACTAAGGAAAACACTCTTTCTGAAATGCATGGATTCAGAGAGAGAGAGAGAGAGAGTCACTAGGTAGCTAGTTATATAGTTATATACCTCTCATTTTGAGTATCTTTCTTTTGAGTTGTTGAGCGCAAGCTTCACAATGCATGTTCACATTCAGTTCCACAGTGGTCAATCCACTAGCCTGGAAGGGAGAGATCGATCGGTAGAGAGAAAAAGAGAAAAATTAACCTCCTACATAAAATTGATAATGAAATTAAAGTAATGGAACCTAGCTATAATAAGACCTGTGAAGTGACGACTTCTGGCAAGGCATCTCCCTCGGCTGCAGGTAATGGAGAGAGGATCTTGGCTCTTCTCTTGGTCTTCTTCTGTATTCTCATGCATATAGCTTGAGGCTGCACTATCCCTTTTATGGTTACTTGATTCTGTGCCATGTCCATAACAACCTCTTCAACTCCTGTGATCAGTGTCAATCATAACAAATTAATTAACAAAACGAAAATGTACGTCGTCCATCGATCAAGTTATATTAATTAATTACACCTATTTGGGAGTGAATGAATGAAGAGGCAGAATAAGACGGAGACCTCTGAATTTCATGATGGATCTCTCTATCTTCTTTGCACATCCTACACAATGCAAGTCTACGAACAAAATTACAGGCTCGGGTGGCTTGGGCTCCTCTTTCTTTTCTTCCGCATTTTCATTTTTCTTCTCATCCGCCTTTTCTTCTTTCTTCTCCTCCGCCTTTTCTTCTTTTTTCTCCTCCGCCTTATCTTCTTTTTTCTCTTCTGCCTTTTCTTCTTTTTTCTCCTCTGCCTTCTCTTCCTTTTTCTCCTCTACCTTGGCTTCTTCCTGCCCCATTAGAAGAAGAAGCAGAATCCCCATACAATTAAACATTCACGAGCACACAATTAAGAACAATAACAAGGGGAAATTAATGTAGCTAGCTAGCATGCAGGAACCACACGTTACCTTCCTAGTCTCTTCACCCATTGCCTCTGTGGATCACCGATTCACCAACAACAAATAATCGCCGTCGCCGTCCAATTACGTCGACAAAAGAGAAGAAGAACGGAGATGATCCAAGAAAGAAATTAAGATCCAAAAGAAGTGCCTCTTTTTTATTTTTTCTACACAATGAGAATTAGTAGTGACTTATGAACGATCTTGCTAAATGCTAATAATGATAATAATAATAATAATATGTCTGGTAAAGTAGCAATGTCATTCCAAAGCACAGCACATGCAGCACCACTACTAGCTTTACAGGGAACCCCTCTTACTCTCTCTTATACCTTATTAAATCCTTCCTTTTGTTTTGTATCTTATCTCTGTATTCTCCAATTCCAACGCTAAGAAAAGGAGAAAGGGGGAGTATCAATTTATAGAGAGTAGAGAGGCTTAGGTGATGAATCCCGAAGGAAAAAGGAAGTCTTGAATTTATACTGAACCTATTTGGGCTTTGCGTTGTCAAATGTCTCCAGATTTACAAGCCCGTGAGCACGTGGGCCGTTGTCGTAACGACTAACGATGGGGGTAGATATATACTACATATGTAGAGTGGATTACGAGTACTTATGGGTTATCTTCTTTTTCTTTCAAAAATTGCAAAACCAAACAGGTCTCTTTATCTGAGTTTGGAATCTCGTATGACCCAGTCCTGTAACCACCAATCACAATTCACAAACCAACGATGTATGTATTTGAGCATGGTGAGTTAAGTAGGCCTTGACTACTTAGTTAAAATTAATTACTAATAATTATTGTAAACTAAATTATTTCACAGGAATCTTAATATTATCGTATGGGTTATTTATGTCTAACATCTATAGGTGTAATTAGTTTCAATTTTCGTCAAGAAAGCTATAAATCATTGATCAAGAGCTCTTCTCAAAATAAGTTAATATTCTGGGGAACATGAAAAATTAAGGTTCAGTTTGGATGGGGTACAAATGCAAAATAATACAAAAATATAAGGTGTTGCGCCCTATATATTTATATTTGTACTCCTTCCAAACAGAGTCTAAGAGACATTAGGGAAAGGAATCACTTAAAGGGAAACTTGTATTTTGAGTTTTACGTGACAAGAGTTGGTGGTTACATTATGTTCCAAACTCTCTTTTAAATTTGTCAGGTTGAGATGTCCCACCATCCTCATCTCATGCATGTATCCTCACCTCACCAAACCAAAAATAAAAGTGGTTGTGGTGGGGGCCTCAGACGTGGCCATCCCCTTTCGGTTCTTTTTTGACACCTATACCTCGATGACCTGGACTGATCGGCCAACAAACCTCAATTATTTTACAACACTACAACAGTTCAAGCGGGACCGTTGAACTTTTGCTCGTGTTTCTTTTTCTTTTGAGAATTTTCTTTCCCATGTTCAAAAATAAAAAGAGAAGCAACTTAATTCAAAAAATGGGTGAAGGGCCGGGAATGGTTAAGAGGCTGACTCTAATTAAGTTCATTTTAATTTGTCAGATTTGAAGCTGACATATATAGATGATAGAACCGTACGTACGTATTGCATTTGCAATAAGTATAGTGTTATTGCGAAATAACACATGCAATAAGTAGGGTTAATATTGCATTTGCATCAACGTGTACTGATCAGAACTCAGAAGAGATGCAGTAAAATCAGAAATATCGCTTTCTATGGTACCAAGAAAATTGGCTTTTTTGTTCCTTTTAGCAGCTGTAAGAACAAAGAAGAGGACCGACTGAGTTGGAGGATTCGTGGAAATGACTCAGCATGCAACCTTTTTCCTTGCATCAAGGCAAGAGAAACCTCCAAAACTAGGGTAACGATGGCCCAGCGACCGTCCAAACTAATTAAGGCCTTGTTTGATTTGTGGGAATAGGAGTCTAGAATTGGATTATTCTAATTCTAATTGTTTGGTTGGGCGGAATTGAAATCTCATTCTCATTTCTTTTAGAATAGTTATTCCTCTATTTGAGAGAATGGTCATTTCCTATCTTTTCTTTAAAAATGAAATCTCATTTCCGCCGAATTAAATTTCTATTCTCATTTCTATATGAATCAAACAGACTATGAAAATAGACTATTCTAATTCTGATTCCCACAGGATTTTGGTTTCAATTCCAACTGCAAACCAAACTCAGAAATTAGATATAATTAAAAGCCATAAAAATGACCTTGCAAGTTTCAACTTTTTCAACTCCCATACTAGGAGGGAATCGTAGAGAGACTGCTATATATTACTTTTAATGGGAACTGACGACTCTTGACTTGCTGGATATCCGTAAACTTGCTTAGCCTTGTTAAAAAGCCAAAGCCATACTCAATTAATTACTGTTTGCTACTTTAGCTTTCTCTTTTTCTGGTTTTGCTTTTTTGTTAGTTTTAAGACTACTATAGCTAGCGACTATATAGATGGAATAGATCATATCAGTGCCGCCTCTTGTCAAACATGAAACATGAAAATGTGTGTAGGCCATAACCATGTGATGGTTGCTGTGAGTGACGCTTGACACTTTGACAGAGCAATCAAAGATAAACCCAACCATCTGCTGCTCCCATTTAAAAAGTGAACAAGAGGACAACATAGACAATGGAGATGATTCCATAGATCAATAGATGTCTATCAGCCTATGGATGGAATGGAATCGACGTTAAATATCTGAGCCGAAAGATAGCTTGCTTAGCTGGGACCATTCAGGCGGTTCAGTATAGATTCTAGATTTTCTGTCTATATTTCTATAACGGGTTATCGGTTATTATAGAAATAGATGTACCTCTCTCTTTTACTTGACGGATGCTTGTATATGCAGCTTGTGTTGGGAAATGGGGTTATTATTAACTTTGGAGGAAAAGCTCTGAGGTGCATCTAAAGATATTGTTTTTAGAATGTTATTTGCTTCCATTCAGTTTTACTGAGTTTGTTATTGGGTTACAAGTAAATCCGTTCCCATGATACAACGGTCTTGGGCGAGAATCTACAAATAGCAAAGTTGAAGAATCTCCGAAAAAACCTTCTGTGAGATTGTAGCAGACCGGACTGAGAGAAAGAGAGAGAAAGTGGATTTCGAAAATGTGTGTTTTTGAAGTCTGATTCATGCTCCTTAAATAGTTTATAAAGAGGTATGAAGAAAATGTAAGTGTTGGTTCAGAGAAGGCACCTTGAACAACCACAATTTCAAACATTGTGACTGTTTAAAAGGTAGTTGACAATTAATGACTGTTAACTTCGAATTGTACCTCTTGATCACACCCGTTCAAATCATGACCGTTAATCTCATCAACGATGATCAACGGTCAGCATCGCACCAAAACCAAAGCCCCCCTTCGCGAGCCACACGGGTGCGCGCAAAGTGCAAGCAAAGTGTGCCTCTAAAGTGCTTCATTGCATCGCGCACACGCGTGTACGCACATTGCGCGGTATCAAATCTCCATACTCTCCTCTACTATTTCTAAGGAGTGTAAATCAGCTCCTATTAAAATATTGAACACAAAGCTTATAATTTTCCAATGTGGGACAAGTTCAAAACTGAATTTTGTAAGAGAAAAGCTAATTTTCCAAACAAGTGTGCAAGTGCAATTCTCTTGTAATTGACCGATGAAACCCATTGGATTTAATCTTTTATGAGATTAAAATCCAACAATCCCCCACATTGATTGATCACTTACATAGTTATGCCTCAATCCAAACTACTATGACACAGTTATGCATAGAAAATGTGTTTTTCAACTTAAACCTTTTGTTAGTATAGATATCTCAGAGCCTTGTCAAATTTATTGGTGATAAGACCTTAAACCAATTACTCTCAAGACAGATCGGAGACACCCATACACACAAAAATGTCCATTCTCTGCAAGAGTTTCAAGTTTTGCTTAGCACTGTTATGGCCATGTGCTTCTTTTCTGGTTTCATGAACAATCCCGAGATCAAGCCCAAACTCTCATGAGAAGCGGCACCACTTCTATGTTCATATAGGTGAAGTTCCACTATGTGTTTCGTTATTTGACACATTTCAGAACTTCATTAAGAGTTTAATTCAACCTCTCATCATAACGGATAACACTGCTTGTGTTGTAATGGGAAATTTCTCAATGTCAGTGCTAACAGTCACATTGTTGTAACTTGTTACCCATTAAACCCAATACTGATGTTTTTTTTTTTTTTCAGTTTAGGTCAGGTTACCATTGCAGTTGACTAAGTAAAATGTTTTAATCCCATCTCTTTGGTTGTCATTCTTATCAATTCTCTGTCCAAGGCCTTGGTAAGAGGATCAGTCAAGTTTTTACTTGAATCAGTGATGACTCCATCTTGAATCAGTTGCCTAACAAATTCATGTCTCAGACTTGTATGTTTGGACTTACCATTGTATGTACCACTGTAGGTTCTTGACAAAGTTGCCTCACTATTACAGTAAATGGAAATTGGAGGCATAGGACTAGGCCAAAGTTTTATATCCAATAATAAATTCCTAATCCATTCAGTCTCGTTTCCAGCAGTCGCCAAACCTATGAATTTGGATTTCATGGTTGAGTGAGATATACAAGTTTGTCTCTTGGATGCTCAAGAGATCGCACCCCCACCAAGGATGAAAATTCATCCAAAGGTGGACTTGTTATCTCCATTACCGGTAATCCAACTTGCATCAGTATACCCTTCTAGTACAGTTGGATAATCACAGTAAAACAAGCCAAGTTCCAATGTTCTCTTGAGATACCCAAAAACTCTCCCAATTGCCTTCTAGTGCTCTACACCGGGATTACTTATAAACCATCTGAGTTTACTTACTGCAAATGCAATATCAGGTCTAATACAAACCATAGCATACATCAAGCTTCTTACTGCACTAGTATACTTAAGTTGTGCAATTGCTTTACTAGTATTTTCTATTAGCTTTATACTAGAATCATATGGTGTGCTATATTCTTTAAACCCTAAATGCTTAAATTTCTCAAGTACTTTCTCAATATAATGGGATTGGGTTAATGCATAACCTCTACTATGATTTTTAACTTTTATTCCCAAGATGGTATCTACTTCTCCTAAATCTTTCATCTTGAAGAGAGAGGATAAGTAGTTTTAGTTTCATTTGTGCCAACCATATTTGTACCCACAATAAGCATATCATCAACATAAAGACATACAATTACTCCATAATTTTCAATGAATTTTGAGTAGATGCATCTATCAACACTATTATGTTTAAAAGCAAAAGTTAGAATGCAAGAATCAAATTTCTCATACCACTGTTTAAGTGCTTGTTTTAAGAATCCATATAGTGATTTAACCAGTTTACAAACTTTCTTCTCATTTCTAGGAAGAACAAATCCTTCTGGTTGTTCCATATAAACCTCTTCATTTAAATCACCATTTAAGAAAACAGTTTTAACATCCATTTGATGAATAGATAAGTGATAAATGGATGCTAATTCTATGAGTGTTCTAATAGAAGTTGTTCTAGCCACAGGTGCATAGGTGTCAAAGTAATCAA